CAGTTACAATTTCGAGAAAGTAGAGAATTTCGTTTACTTGGGAACCAGCATTAACACCGATAATAATGTCAGCATTGAAATCCAACGTAGAATCACTCTTGCCAACAAGTGCTACTTTGGACTGAGTAGGCAATTCAGGAGTAAAGTCCTCTCTCGACGTACGAAAACCACGCTCTATAAGTCACTCATCATGCCCGTGCTGGTATATGGCGCAGAAGCATGGACAATGACAACATCCGATGAGGCGGCTCTTGGGGTGTTTGAGAGAAAGATTTTGCGGAAGATTTACGGTCCTTTACGCGTTGGCGCCGGCGAGTACCGCAGACGATGGAACGATGAGCTGTATGAGCTTTACAACGATATGGGCATAGTGCAGCGAATTAAAATACAGCGGCTCCGCTGGCTTGGTCATGTCGTTCGAATGGACACCGACGCTCCAGCTCTGAAAGTATTCAACTCGGAACCCGCTGGTGGTAGCAGAGGAAGAGGGAGGCCTCCACTGCGATGGAAAGATCAGGTGGAGAAGGACTTGGCTTCACTTGGCGTTTCCAATTGGCGTCCGTTGGCACAGAGGAGAAACGACTGGCGTGCTTTGCTGAACTCGGCCAAAATCGCTTGGGCGGTTACAGCGCCAAAAAAGAAGAAGAAGATGTATATATTTAGTAACACTATTAATTTGGCATTTTGATATAAGATAAGTCTTTCATGATATGCATTATAACGCCACCGGTAAGGGGATCCCATGGGCAAATTTTAAAAATTTTGAACTGAAAACGTCGCAGGGTATTTTTCAATGTTTAGCTTGTAGTGTCGAAAAGTGTTAATAGTGTATATCCTGCATTATATAAAAAAAATATGGTTTTTCCCCATTTCACATCCATGCTATCTCTTAACCAAAGTTTCCGGACTAATTATGTACCAGGATTTTATAAGTAGTTACTCAGATCTCCCAAGTAAAAAAATTAAGTTTTTCCGAAGTTTCTACGCAGGAACTTCTTCATATTGCCAAATCCCTAACTACCAGAAGAAGTCACTTCAGCACCATTTTCTTATGACTTTCTTGTGAATGTTTTATGTTTTTGTAGCAACAACAGAACATTCATCCTGTTAGTTCTTATCTGTTGTTAGCTTTTTTTAGGCTCGTTACTACTTCGGTTCCTACCACACACCCACTTTTGGATGTTATTTAGATTGGTCCTAATATACAATAACACTTTACTTTTCTCATTTCATGCTTAGTTCGAGGGATGCTGCAAGGCTTATTCCCGCCTTGAAAACCTCAAAACCCATCTGCGATCGCACACAGGTGAGAAGCCGTACACCTGCGAGTACCCCGGCTGCAGCAAAGCCTTCAGTAATGCGAGCGATCGAGCCAAGCACCAGAATCGGACACACAGTAATGAGGTAGGTGGAGCGATGCTGTACACACTAACATATTAGTTTTCCCTTGAATTTATCTTGACATAATGTCACTAACACTCATTTTTAAAAAACGTAAAAAACTTCTATTTTGCAGAAACCGTACATCTGCAAGGCGCCAGGCTGCACCAAGCGCTACACCGATCCTAGTTCACTGCGCAAGCATGTGAAAACGGTGCACGGTGCCGACTTTTATGCGAGCAAGAAGCACAAAGGTTCCTCGAACGAGGACGGCAACGGCGGCATAGACGGACACGGCATTGGCAGCGTGCATGGCACCAGTGGATTGAAGTCGTCAATACATTCACAACTTCAAAATCATCCTCAAATTGACTCCAGCCCACGCAGCGATGACATGCATTCTGGCAAGGCTAATAGCATATCCAGCCCGAGCATCAAATCGGAATCAGATGCGAATTCGCCCGAGCATAGCCCAAACGTCACTGATGGACACCAGTTGGCACTACAAACGTCACAGTTAAAATTGGCTGGCAATATGCGTGACACCGAAAATGCCAGCGCTGGTTTCGGACCTGATGAGTTTCAATTAAGTAATGCTGCAGCACTGGATGAAGGCTGGGAATACGATGAGGACCTAGAAGTGGCGGACTTGCCGTACGTTTTGCGCGCCATGGTCAGCATTGGTAGCAGCGCCAACACCGGCAACAGCGGTTGCGGTGGCGAAAATCATGGAGTTGGTGGGGGTGGTGGCGCCAGTGGCATGCTCGGCGGTGCTTTGCCACGCCAGCGTCTGCGGGGCCGACTGCAGGCGAAAGGTATAAATTTGGGATCAGCAATGCTATCGAATATACCTGAGGCACGCAGAAACGTTGGAATCGGTATCGGCGAACTGAATCAAAGGATTAACAACTTGAAAATGGAACCCACCCCTTCTCCGATGTCGCCTCCAAACACCGAATACATATCCAAAATGTCGCCACCGAGCAATCATATCACCGAGTTGCACACGCGTCTACACCAGCAACAAATCATGAGACGGGATAGTCAAAATTCAAATGCCAGCACCTACTATTGCAGCATGCAGAGTAGGCGCAGCAGCCAATCATCTCAGGTGTCTTCCATATCTACTATGAGACCTTCATATAATACAGGTTCTCTCTATGATCCCATTTCACCTGGTTGCTCACGTCGTTCCAGTCAACTGTCGAATGTCACCTCGGGCGTCTTGGGTGGCGGCGGTGGAGGCAGCGCTGGTAACTTCAATGCCAATGTTAACGCCAATTCTAACCCCAATGGCGACGCCGACGGTAATTGCGGTTTCAATGATAACTGCTATAGAAAGCCGCTGGTATTCAACAATATGGGTACTGTTGAAGCGGGCACTGATAGCTCATCGCGCGGCGGTACGTTAAAGATGAGTGAAAGCAGCGTAAACAGCAACAGTTTGCCGCCCCCACCATCATCACACCTGATATCGTCACACTTACAGCGCCTCCAATACGCCAACTACCAACACAAAGCTCTTCTTCGGGACCGCGGTCGCAGCTCTATACCAAACATGCCTTTCCCACATACTCCGGAACAAAAATCCAATTCGAATGGAATCGATTCGTATACATCAAACAAGACATTGCTAGGGCCCGCAAGGCGTCGTCAATCAGAGCCTGTTCGCACAGAATGCGATCGGTATGCACCTTCGTCTCCAACATCGCTGTTGCCGGTTCCATACAAAATACGTGGTAGTACCAGCTGCCCGCCCAACGGCATAGGAATTGAAGACTGCCAAGCCAAAGCGAAACTCAACAGCTGCTCTGCGCGCAGTCGCGATGAGTCTATGGCTGCATACCGAGAGCACCATCCAAATGAAAGGGTCAACTTGGATGAGGTTGAAGAGGACGAGCTAATAGAGAACAAGCTGGTATTACCAGATGAAATGCTGATGTATTTGAATCAAGTAGCTGATAAACCAAATGTCAGTCAGCATCAGGAGTCTTCAACGCAGCAGCAGCCACCGCCACAACAACAGAAGGTACAAGGAAAGCCCCTAGAACCCAAACAACCAACAAAGGGCGCACCTGTCGGCAATGTTCCAACTGTCAATGAAGCCCACTCCAAATCGTCTACACCTCAAATCGTAGGTTGTGCTGGGAAAAACGCGACATGTCATCTACCCTCGCCCATAATGTACCCTAATAGCCCTAACATGGTTGAACCAAGCCCATCTACTTTGGACCAAATAATGTCCCCACAGTCTGCATACGCGATGCCGGCTATAGACATCCCCCATTCCCGTCCCAACCTGAACGCCCAAGCAGCAACTTCCCCTTACGATTTTTATCGCGCCCAGCCACAATCAGTCGAGGTACGGGATATGGACTATGACTGCAGGTTCCAGGTAGCATGCCAGCACCAACAACATCAACAACAGCAGCCATGTAACCACCATCCACTGGCCACAAATTATATCCGTACCGAGAGCGTTGGAATCTGTCCAACACAGCCACACCACAATCAGCAGCCATACCAACAGCAACGACGACAACAACAACAGCATCTTCATCAGCAACAACAACAACAATCAAACTCAGCCATTTGTGTCGATTCATCAATGACCAGTTTGCCCGATATCAAAGCAGACAATATGATTAAAGTCTGCAGCGAACAAGTTGCTACACCGGTTTCTTTTTCTGTGGCCACGAACAGCAACCTCTTATACCGAGTTCCATTGTCTACAGCGCAAACTTTGCACCAACACCAACAGCAGCAATTGCAAGAACCAATTGCGTCGACATTGAGTGGACCAGTGAAAAAGCTAGCTGCTGCTGAAATACAATGTGGCGATATAAGTCAATCACAAATGTCGCCCGCATTGGAAGCGCACCACCAACCAGCCTCCGCAACAAAGTCAACAATAGTACCAGCCAAAAGTACAAAAGACACACAACCGACAGTAACCACCACAACCATGAGTGTGCAATCAGTAGCAACCAATCAGACGATTCAGTTACCCCCACCACCAGCGGCAGTGGCAAATAGACATTTCTTCTGCAACGCACCAACCACAACAGCAATTGCGGCGGCATCTACCACAAACTTGCTTGAAGTTAGCGCCAATATCGGACGCATGTACGTGCCCAGCGATGGCGGTAGCATGCGTTTCGATACATATCAGCGGACACTCGAGTACGTGCAGAATTGCCAAAACTGGCTGGAGACCAACAACTCACCGACTGGCAACTGTAGCAGCGAACTCCGCGACTACGAGCAAAGCGCCCAGCAGGCCGTTAGCAGCTCCACACATCCTAACTCAAACATGATCATAAACGACATGACAACCTCGTTGAGTTCGCTGCTGGAGGAGAATCGATACTTTCAACTTCTGCAATAGATTGTGTAATAAAGATCGAGAACTATGTTACTTTCGCATTGTGGTAGTCATCAGACGCGATAGTTACAATTTAATCGTACAATGCGTAACGTATTCGCGCAGTTTTGACGTTTTCTCATTTCATCCCGTTCTTATTATCGCTTCCAATTTATCTTTTTTTCATCTTTCTGTCCTCAAGACTGGACGTCCAGACTTAACGCCCAGTTAAAAATTAAAATTCCATTTGCTCGGGATTAGCGCCCCGTTATTGTGGGATGCTTCATACAAACAATTCTTTGGCGCTTAACATCCAATTTAGGCATGGCTGTGAGCATGTGACAAGCGAAAGCATAACATCGTGCTTACAATGTGCACGTTTGGCCGGCACTGTACTAGAATATCATTCGCTTAGCTATGTAAATAAAAATAACCTAACCAAACATATTTTGCACCAGGGAAAAGGGAAGATTACCAAGGTCAAAAAGCTCAAACTGTTGGGTTTGAAAAAATTGCAATATGTATAACAAAACGTTGCAAGTTTTTATAAGTGTTCTATGTTTATATGCCTGATTAAATAATTAAAGGTTCGATAAACTGACAGTTGTCTCTCTCGCGCCACTCCCTTAGCAGTAGCATCGTCTTCTTTGCAAATTTACTTGAAAAAGTGCAGCTTACGTGTGAAATAGAAGCATACGTTTTTGTACATTTAACTGATCAAAACATAAATTTAACTCATGAAAACTTAAATTGTTTTTAAATTCGATGTTTACATACAATTCATAGTAGTTTCATTCTAGTTCTAAGCCCTTTTTTCAGTTTTTATACATATATGTAATACTCCTATAATGGCAGTAAGAGCTAGTACCGTCCGAAAACATTACAGTACAGATATATCAATAAACACGTACGAAAAAAAAGGAACACATACGTTTATAAATAAACATGTACACAAGACATCCACAAAAATGGCACTCACGTATACAACACATTCACAAAAACGGTACTAGAGTGTCTCGCTTTGATTTCGGAATCAGGGTGTCCAGATTGTTTAAAAAAAAGGCGCAATTTCTGAAAAAAAATCGCCAAAAATCGCCAATTTTTTTTAATAAAATTCATGAAATCGATTTAACAAATCTTTTATTTTAAAACTGAGATCTTGTTATAATATAGGCCCCTATTATGAGTTGCATTCGATTTTCGACTGTGGTCGAAAGTGCTGATCGAACGAATTTTCATTTCGTATTATGGCGCTCATTCGATGAAGAATAGCGCTATTGTGAATTTCGCTCGTTTAGGTTGTTCACAATAGTATATTTTTCGCCGCTGAAAAGTTTTGTTTACAAATCGAGCAAACTAAATAGTGTGTTTATACATATTTATGTAAATTTGTGCAAATTAAAATGATATTAAAAGGATAGCGAGTTTATAAAAACGTGGTAAAAATTAGTACAACGGAGTTCTGGTTGAACGATTCTTCAGACAATGAGAGCTTAGAAAACTGGCCAGGAGCAGAAAACGTTTAAGAGAGTTTAAGTATAGCCTTTCGGATATATTTTGACATACAATATATTTAAAAAATTTTGTGATCCAAATCTATTTAAAATATATTGAAACTATAAGCATCTCTATGATTTTGTTCTCAGAGATCGTGCCAAATGAGTATTGAGATTTTCTTTCACAAGTAAAACCAACCCTTCCGAGCTTGTGTTTAGTATTCACGACGTTGGAACTGCATACAATTAACAAAAATTGTTTAAAATTAGTGTCTATCCGCCAAAAAGTAAGAAAACAAATGCAACATCATACATTTTTCACAATTTTCTAACACTTCGCTACACCATCGAAAGCAAAATTCTGTTCGACAGAAACTTCGATACTCAACGAAAATTTCGACACGGTTGCACAGCTCATAATACGAATTTCTCTTTCGATCTTCGATAACCAGCGAAGATCGAAAATCGAATGCAACTCATAATAAGGGACGAATATAACACCTTCAGAGGGTAATAATAAATAACACAAATCACTTATATAATAGTGATGTACAAACAATTTCTTTAAAAATACGCAAACTTTTTAAAAATATTTGTTTCAACACATGTTGCAATAGGACTGCGCAATTATTAAATTTATTATAACTCATATTAATGGATCAATCGCACAATCCCCTTTCAAGAGCTCGGCGCTAAAAATAAAATAAAAACCTATAGTAAGGGTAGTTCAGCTATTTCCACAATTTGTTGTTGTCATTTATTGAGCTTTCAACCTTGATAACATACTGTTTGATATTGGAAACGTTTTGCAGCAGAAACTATTAGCCTTCATATAACACTTTATTCGAACTATTGAATTAAGGCTTTCCAACCTCATCCTATTTCGAATCTTAGTTTTTGTTGAATTCATTACGGAAAAAACGCGCTCAACAAAGCATTTCGGTGCGGCAAGGATAATATTTAATATGAATTTACTTATATTTCCAAACATTTTATTGCCTGTTGTGGTTTTCACTCATAAGCAATTATCCAAAATTCTTCAGAGTCGGATGGAATGCTTCTGAGAAAGTTATTCCATGAGAAATTTAAAATATTTAAATATTCAGTTTCCGCTGCTTTTCTTCTTCAAAGTCAAATAATGAGTTGACAGGTCCCTGAAAATCGCCCTCTTGTGATTCACACACTTTTCTGGTGACAAAATCAAAGCTTTTTTAAAAGTATTTAATTGACTAGGTAAACGTTTCAAAAGTTCTTCGATTATAGGGTGATTAAACATTTTTGACAGTCTTTTAATATGCTTCTTAAGTCAAGTTCTTAAGTCAAGTTAACCACGCAGTTCATTAGCCTCTTCTGTAAATAATCGTGGAAAACTTAGCTTTGTATATTTTCATAATTGAAAAAAATTTATTTGAAGGGAAAAAATCGTCAAAAATCGCCAATGGCGATATCCTAAATTTTTACGCGCAAATATCTAAAAAAAAACGCCAAATTGGCGCGAAATCGCCAAATCTGGACACTCTGTTCGGAATGCTTACACATTGAGAAGTTAGCTTAGTGCCAATGTAGAAATATTACATATATGTTTTTATACCACTAATTACCACATAAATTACATAATTCTCGTAGATATCTTAATATTTCGTTTAAAAGGCCAAATTTCCTGCAAATACATTAGAATTTACAAAAGGAAATTCCCTACTAATTGACTACTTTGCATACTTTTCTACTAACATTTTCGCACCCCTTTCTCCATCCTTCGTATATGCAACCTTTTGTAATTGAGTGTCAAACCGCGGCTGTCAATAATTATCCTTCCTTTTATTAATGAATCGTGGTTTATATATATGTGAGTGCAAAAATTATTAAAGAACCAATATTCTGTCAAGAATATTTTACATGCGCCGCGTAGATTAGTAAATTTCTGAGAAAAAATTTTGTTTCGTAAAAAATAAATATTATTTAATAGCACAAATTCAAACTGTAGAAGCCAAATAATACCTTCATTTACTTTTCCTTTTATATGCAGAGCGGAAAAAAAATTGTAATGCTCCTGATCATAGAAATTTTTTAATATGCTATACTTATTATATATCTGCAAATCGTAGCGTTGCGAACGTTACTTCGTACTTTTTTTAATTTTTTGTCGGAAATAATTTCCAAGTTAAAAAACTTGTATGGTGTAAGGAAAGTTTAAAGCAGTAGTTATGAAAACAAAGTAGTGGAAATTTGAATTTAAATTAATAGCGGTGTATTTGCTCTCGAAGGTTTTGTTCGGACGTTACTCGTAATTATGATATCGCACACCTAGATCTAAGGTGATATCAACAAAAAAAAGTTTAGGCGATTTTTTTGCATAAATAAATTCATAGGACTTACATCCTATTAATGGAAATACCCGGGAAATTGTGTATTGCCAAAAGACCCTGAAAGCTTTAATTTATTTTGCTTTGGCATAATTTATTTGAAGTAGATTTCTCAATTTCTCCGATTTGAAATTTTATACTTTTAAATTTTATATATGTATGTATGTAAATATTCTTGTTTTGTGAAATCGGACTTAGAATTTACCTGCGGTTATATGAGAGTAGAAAAACTATAGGGGCCCATTTTTATTTTACTTTCTTGGTTTTAATTTTTTTTATGGCTATTCGAATGGTATTATCAGCTTTTCCATGTCTGTATACATAAATACATACATGTATACAAACTATTGAAGGTACGAATGAAGTTCTAGGGAGGTAAATAGATTGTATGTAAGAGATCGATTCGCTTTTTAACAATAATGCTTTTGGTATGTATGTACATGCATATACATGGTCATTCCACAGCCTTAGCCAATCAGACTTATCTCCATTTCCATATGAATAAATCATTCCCTTAATTTAATAGGCAAAAACAAATTGTTTTTTTTTTGTTCTGCTTTTTAACCGCCATATCAGAAACGACTGAGGATTTTTGCAAAATGGAGAACCCTCATGCAAAATGTATAAAAAGATTAAAAAAGCTCCGCATGCCGGCAAAAAACTGTCCTTCAACGGCTATAAGCGCTTCTTGATCGTCATTGACTTAAAACTACTATATGAGTAACATTCTATTTTATTTCTAAGTCACTGTAAGTTGGTAATGCTACGCACTGGCGGAATGCTATTTTGCAATGAAGGTCGTCCTCCAAGCTTGAATATTTGTCAAAAATTTGCGCCAAAAACTATGCCGCTAAGAGTTGCCTGTATTTGACTACATTTGTTGTGCATTTTTAAAGCGCCTAAAATTAAATGTTTGCAACATAATTTTAGTCGTAGCTCTTTAGACAAATATTCAAGCTTGACAATTTATCAATTGCACAGAATTCGGAGGTTAGTTTACCTGAAACCTGTGGTCGCTGGTTACAGTAGCGGAATCAGGCGGTTTTAAAAATGTATGTTTTTATGGTTAGTATTGTAGGGTTACACGATCAAATTTCTAACAACTTACTTAAAAAACCAAAATAAATTTGAAAATACCAATTTAGTGATTTGTGGAAGCAATTTGAGGGACTATTTCACGTTCTCATCAATCATATTTAAGGGAAATAAGAAAGCGAGGAAATCTAAAACTTGGCCATGCGGCATTAACCAACATAAAATAAAAGCAAAGAGCTGACGGGGCTGAAATACGTATAAGTAGTATTTTATGATATGTATGTAAATCATGTCTTTGCTATGTAGAAAAATATTAATGATTATTTTTCGTCCTCGCAAGCAAACATCTCAACATCAACATCTCAGTACTTCAAGTGACACCGCTTAACATAATCGTTCGATTCGATATGTTTTTATGATATGTTTTTAGATTAGACTGGATGGTACGAAAAATCGGGCAATTTTGGGTATTGCGTAATTCGCCATCGGCTACCTTTACAAGTATCGGGAACTTAGTTGTAAAAATGTTGATACTTTTTTATTCTATTTTTACGAGATGATTACTATTAATAGATACTTTTTTCCCACAAAGCACTTTATTATTTGAAAATAGCTAATTTTATCGCGCGCCCCAAAATCTTTAATCAAAAAATTTTAATGGAAACTTTTGATAGAGTATGCATTGTCGTAATGACACGGTTATCCCAACTGATACCCAAAATGAAATAAATACATGGACCAGAACCTGGACTGTTTAAAATTTAATTAAAGACTTCATTATATATATATGTAAATATAACTTTGCATATGTATGTATGTACATTAGGGTGGCCCCAAGATAGTGACGTCGAAATTTTAAGGCTCCCTCACCCCCTAGGATTTTTCTATATCAAAAAAATTACCCTTTTTAAATCAATATTTAGAAGTCGCTCAAACCGCTCAAAATTTCCCATGCATTTTGTATGAGGAAAAACGATTATTCGTAGAAATGAT